TTTATTTTTATTTGACAGTATAGTTTTTCCCTAAACATAGCACATGCCGAACCGTACCGAAACTGTGACTCTAAAACCGTGATGCAAACCGAACCATGAGAAAGTTGAACCGTTCCACCTCATACATTTATTTATATTTATATATAAATGTATTTACTTGTTTTTTTCATGAATGTATTTTACAACAATACAAAGAGCAATGTGTGACATTTGACCAGATTTAGACATTCACTTTTATTTGTAAATAAAAAAGTTTCACTAGATTTTTTTTAAATGATTGTGCACCCGTGATCAGTATCGGCAGATACTCCGAATTTTCAGTATCGGATCGGATCGGTTCTGAAAAAAATGGTATCGTTGCATCCATAATTAAAATCACCCATAATAAAAACGGGGGCATTAGGGGTGTGCTGCAGCTGACGATGGGCACAGTCAGCAATGAGGGAAGCAGCTCTCGCTGCATTCCCACTTGGTGGGACATACACCGCACAAATAACGACATTCCCACCCCACATTAAACATCCTTGCACTACTGTGAGCTCGTGACAACGAGTCACAAAAGGTAACAAGTCTGTGGGTGTATCTTTAGGTTTCCGAAACCGTCCCAATAAAACTATGTCCAGCACAGATGACAAGGTGGGATCTGTTAGGGTGTCGCGTTTAATTTCAGCATTACTGACAGGCAGGGTGGCTACTTGGTTGGCATAGAATACATCCACTGTGTCCTTTGTCTCGGTGTGTGTCACTGGCAACGGTAACCGTGAAAGTCTGTCTGCATTGACATGGTGAGCTGCTTTCTTATAGTCAATGACATAATCATGGGCAGCTAAAAGCAAAGCCCATCATTGCATTCTGGCTGCTGCCATGGATAGAATGCTCCTGTTAGGACTAAGAATAGCAGTTGTGATCAGTGAGGAGGGTAAACCTTCTTCCATATAAGTACTGATGGAATTTGTGAATTCCAAAAATATGCTCAGGGCCTTCCACTCAATCTGAGCATAATTTCGTTCCGCTCTACTGAATGTCCTGGATGAAAAAGCAATCGGCTTTTCCTCACCATTGGGGCACAGATGTGATATCACAGCACCCACCCCATATGGGGAAGCATCACAGGCAAGACGAATGGGTAGCTCTGGATCATAATGCATGAGGTACCGCTGGTGAGGTAAGGAGATCCTTTGCTTCTTGGAATGATTGTTCACAGGCCACACTCCAATACCATTTCTTTTCTTTACAGAGAAGAGTATTAAGTGGATTCAAAACAGATGTCAAATTTGGAATGAAACGGCCATAGTAGTTAATCATCCCAAGGAAATAGCGTAATTGACTTACATTGGCTGGTGTTGGCACTTCCATTATTGCTTTAATCTTTTCTGGCGATTTGTGTAGTCCAGCGGCGTCGATTTAATGACCCAAATACTCCAGTGACTGTATGAAAAATTTCAATTTTTTCATGTTGCAAGTTCAGACCATATTTTTCCAAATGTCCGGTCTTCTCCAAACTTTACATGTTTGATAAGAGTCCTGGCCTGTAAACATTTACATGCCAATATTTTTTTGAGTTACTGACAAATTAACTGTTTTTGCATTTATTTCAGAGTTGATTGAAGAAAATGAGCAGAATGAAGAATTGAGTGGTAAGTAGATCATCTTCAGATCCAGCACTTTCAGATCTGATGCTGCGTCTTCACCAAATCTGACACAATAATGCATCAAGCAGTAAAATGTCATCTGGATAAATCTGTCATTACAAGTGACATGACGAAGAAACATTATCTAAAGTTTTCAGTGAATAAAGTTCATCTTCATCTTCAAAACCAGCAGATTCAACTGTGAGATTCAGATCAACTCAAAAATGGAGTTCCTTCACAAAGAACAATGTCCAAAAGTTTTATTATTTTATTTCATTTTGCTTCATCATTTAAATGATACCATTGTGATTTTTTACACGACAGCAAGCCATAACTTCTGACAGTAATTTTTTTAGTTTACTCGCCAGACTGATTTTTATTTAATCATAGAACTTTAGTCATTATAATTAAAACTTGATAACCATGTTCGAATGCATTAGTCATTTTATCTGAACTTAGGAATGGTGGTGGTGCTTTTTTGGTCATTCAGTGTTTCTGTAAAAAAAATAAAATTGGGAAAAAAACTAACAAAAATACTGATAAGATAATAATGATACGAATTCTACTAATAAAGACAATATAAAGCGCACTAATGATTAACAAACTCCTGGATTCATGAATATTAATCAGGTTGTGTGCGTTCACTTGAACTGATTTGCTAAAATCAAAATCGGGACGATAATAGGTGAGCACCAGCCAATGAGATTGCGTTTGCACATTAGTTCCGCCCACTAAGAATACAAAGAATTCCACAAAGAGTATCGTTTACATGTAGCACGTCAATTCTCTCTCTCTCTCTGTGTGTGTGTGTGTGTGTAAGACAAAGCGACGGCGAGTCGTGCGCCTTCACACTAGAGTTTACAGTACGTCAAATACAGGTGTGCTGCACATCCATCAGATGAACTGAAAAACAGCACAGATCGCTTG